ATGCTACCTCCAGAAATTGTTGAATGTTGACCAATTCTTTTTGGTACAGTGACTCTGTGCATTCCTTACATCTTCTTTTGATACTTTCTGCGTCATCCAATTTTTTGTCCTTAAAATCTACTGCCTGCTTATTCGGGTCATTGAATGAAGAACATTATACTTAAGCATTAAGACTAGTGAGAATTGCAGGCTGTACCAATTACCTTTCCAGTGTTTTAAGAAAGCACTACCTTTTAAAAACATAAAACTGAAAGCTTCTGCCAAATATTAATGGAATTCTAGCCATCTCTCTGCCTGCTATTCTGAGCTCCTAGTTCTGGAACAAGCAAAAGATAAAGCTGTGGTAGTAAAACAAAATCCCTAGCTGAACTACAGTCCTCAGATGCCCTATTATCAGTCTTCATTCTGTCAAGGAAGCAACAGATAGTAAGGGGAACCTGAAATATTGTATAACAGAAAAGGCTAAGGTAGTAAAAACCAATCTATCCTCCATTTCATAAGTTCTGCTATGAAATTTTGGAATATTAATTAAAATAACACATATCTGATTTTATTTCCAAGTAATCTCTAAAAATCCAAACCTGTTGCCATCAAGTCAATTCCGACTCATAGTGACCCTACAGGGCAGAGTACAACTACCCCACTGGGTTTCCAGGGCTGGTAATGTTTCGGAAGCAGACTGTCACATCTTTCTCCCATGGAGCATGTTATGGATTGAATTGTGTCCCCCCAAAATGTATGTCAACTTGGCTAGTTCATGATTCCCAGTACTGTGTGATTGTCAACATTTTGTCATCTTATGTGATTTTCCTATCTGTTGTAAATCCTACCTCTATGATGTCAATGAGGTGGGATTAGCAGCAGTTAGGTTAAAGAGTCAAGACTCAATCTAAAAGATTAGGTTGTATCTTAAGCCAATCTCTTTTGAGATATAAAAGGGCCAAGTGAGCAGAGAGACAGGGGTACCTCATACTACCAAGAAAGCAGTGCCGGGAACAGACTGCGTCCTTTGGACTCGGGATTCCTGTGCAGAGAAGCTCCTAGACCAGGGGAAGACTGATGACAAGGACCTTCCTCCGGAGCTGACAGAGAGAGAAAGCCTTCCTCTGGAGCTGACACCCTGAATTCAGACTTCTAGCCTTCTAGCCCACTTGCGGTATTTCTGTTATAGCAGCACACGGTAACTAAGACAGAGCAACTGGTGGATTCGATTGCCAAGCTTTCGATTAGCAGCCACTTGCTTAACCACTGCACCAACCGGGGCTCCTTAAGTAATCTCTAGACTATTCAAATACTACATTCAATGTTTTTTTCATTTTAACATAAGTCATACAATAATAATAATTCTACTTTACAGAAGAAACATACCAGCGAGAGGTGGCTTATGTGAGTGAAGAGTACAGGGCACACTGACAATTAATTTATGATCTGGAATGGGGAGTACTTTTTCATCGGCATTCCTAATTAAAACAAAACAAGAAAGTAAACTATATTTTCAAGAATTTGTTTACATACAAGCCACAGTTGCTTTGATTTTTTTTTCCCCTTTCAAATAGTATCTGAATTTAAAATAAATTAAGAATAGAAACAATGAAGGAAATCAACAATTTAACTACTGAGATCTTTCCTATAATTTCCTGTTCTACAATAAATAATGACAATTACACACGACACTAAACAAAAGATAATATAAAATTGCATGTGTCATATCGTTCACCCTTTTTTTGTTCTGGGCAATTTTCAAAAATGTAAAAATTAAGGAAAATCAATGGTCACTATGGCAATAATTTTTAAAAACCCTAAAATTTAATACTTTAATGCAAATCTGAAAAATAACCTTTCCTACCTTAATGGCAAAGCAGTCTTTTCTCGAACTCTCCCCAGTACAAGACCTTCATAAGGCTTTTTGTGTAGAGAATCTAATGGAAACACAAACTCTCCTGATTTGGTGATCTGATATTAAAAAAAAAAAAAAAAAAACAGAAAAAAAAATCTGTAAATATATAGAAAAGGTTATTTTTCCCATCACTATACAGTTTCTACTAAAAAAAAAAAATTATTGAAGCTCTAGGCTAGTGCTGTCCAATAAAAATACAATGTAAGTCACAAATGTGAGCGACATATGTAATTTTAAATGGTGAAGTAACAGCATTATAAAAAAGTTTTTTTTAAATCTGGTGAAATTTTCATTATATATTTTATTAACTCTAACATATCTAAAATATTATTTCTAAGTATAGTCAATTGAAAAATCATTGAGATATGTTACATTCTTTTTTTATACTAAGACTTTGAAATTCAATATGTAATTTCCATTTACAGCACATCTTAATATGGACTAGCCACATTTCAAATGCTGAGGAGCCACATGTGGCTTGTGGGTACCATGTGGCTTATGGGTATCATACTGGACAGAACAGTTCTATGGGATTAAATAATATTTTAAATATAACTTTATTATCATCTTGCATTCAAACAATTTCTACTTTTTACTAAAATTTATTCCAGAAAACCATGT